CTATGGCAGACGACTTCGGACTAGTTGCGTTCTACATAGTCTCCCTGACAACAAGACCAAGTTGCGACAATGAGGTCAACCCACTTGAATAAAGTCCAGCCTTGAGCTCGTCAAGCGAGGCTGTTGGCGGCTGGCAAAAACGGCGCTCACTTCCTCTCCTCCAGACATTGTTCTGGGCTGCAGGCCAGCCCGAAGTCGCTCAGTTTCGCCGTGAAGTCTGCCGTCAGCATCACGTTGCCCGGCTTCACGTCACGATGCACAACGCCGGCCTGTGAGTGCAGGTAGTCAAGGCCGCGGACGAGGCCGACGAAGACTCGGCTGGCCAGCGGCTGGCTGAGTCTGCCGTCGGCAGCGCAGCAGCCGTTGTCCACCTCCAGCCGCGTCTCGGGCTGCCTGGAGCCGGGGACCGCGGAGTCATGGCGCCCGAGCGGGACTCGACTCGGAGAGCCGGAGCAAGGGCGGAGACGGGCCAGCGCCTCGCCGGCTCGGGTCGGCCGAGCCTGACGGCTCTTGGCGCCGGCCGACACGAGGTCGGCCACTGAGCCCAGAGGGCAGAGCTCGAGGAGCAGACAGACGCTGCCGGTGGTCGGCTCAAGAAAGGCGAGCAGCAGCCGCAGAATGTGCGCATGCCTGAGAGGACGATGTATGCGAATCTCGCGCTCGATCAGGTCGCGTTTGGCCTGAAACGTGCTGCTCCGAATCACCTGTCATCGGGAGGTACAGAAGAGAGCTCGTAGATGCCTTGAAAAACACCGAATGACCCTAGCTGTGGTGTCATCTTACAGCCTATAAACATACTCGAATTGGGACGATTAGTGGATTCGGTGTAAAGAGTGTGAAGTGCCTCTCATTTCATAGTTTAATCGAGAGAGGTTGTGATAATGCTGGGGGCCATACGACGATATGGGATGAGAAGTAGATAATGCAAATGTTCAGCAGACAGTTGGTCAAAGAGTGGACTTCTCGTGTCTCTTTGACGAGTTTTAGTGTTGCTCCAAGTGCCAGGACTGACTGGCGATGCCGACTACGATGGCGGCGAATCGTCCGGCAATAGCATGGATACTATGCACTCTTCTATGTCGCTCTGACAACATG